AGCAAGTCTCGCCTTCTGGTTTTCATTAATTCCTTCAACGTTCCCAGAAGCTTTGTACACACACAGTCCCTTACGGGTATGTTCATTTCGATCGCTGACCCGTTCGAATATCTGACAGCAGATTGGGCAGTACGGCGGCTCTGTGTGGTGGTGAAGGAGGTGACGGATAACCGCTTTGATCGAGCGAAGGCCGTGCCTGCGCAAACATCGTAGGTGGCGATCAGGGTCGACAGCGTAGAACGGACAGCTGAAGTGGAAACGTCCGTATACGTGAGAGAGGATAACCGGTTGTGGATCAACCGAGTCTTTCTCTAACATCGTCGGCATAGAGGTCGAAGCTCCCAATGCGGCACGTCTGCGATGCGGTTGAGCAGTGCCGAGCGAAGTGATATATCTTGCAGACATCTTCCAAAGCTGGAATCCGTTGAATATAGCCTGCTTTAAGCCTGTCTGTAAGGCCTCATCTGCTATCTCTGACCGTAGACCATCGTCCACTTCAGACTCAGATGAGCAACAGGATAGACCATCATCACTCTCGACAGATCCAGAATATTCTACAGAGCTACTCCTTGAAATCTCGACGTTCCCTTCGCTAAACGAAGGAAAGTCTATGGCATGTGCGGCAGATATTTGTTGTCGCCAGTCTATGGGAGGTTGGGACCAAGATTTGACATGAAGTGCCGACTTTTTAAGTAAGTTGAGATGGTCACTCGCTTTCCCTAATTTTGCAGAAGCGAGCTTGGGGGTTAGGGTTTCTGAAGGTCGCAAGTCAATATGCCTGGCTACGTAGAGGGTTCGTAGAGCTCCAACTTCCGAAATATCAAACAATGATTCGGGATCTAGTCTGACATGTACGCCGTCCCAGTACTGTAACCGGATGCCAACCCTTTTGCAGGTAACCATATGGCGCCCCATTCGGCCGATTTCGAGTAGTTCACAAGACCCATCTTGTATTACTGAGGATTTGATACAAACGCCTTGGCTGTTAAAGTTGACCTCGCCGTCAAACAACCACGGTTGCTGCCAACTGAGATAGGATGTTGTTGTAAAGTGGCGGAACTCTGATGGTGACCGAGCCAAAAGACCACGAATGCTGCGTAGCCTATCATTGCTGCGCCACGCAAATATTGACCCATCCCGATAGTTGAGCAGGAGAACTTCTTGCAGACGCAGAAAGGCGCGCTCCGCGCCTTCGCCAAAGCATAGCGACATAGCTACACCACAAATACCAATTAAGGAATATGCAACATCTTCTTCGCGGTCAGCGTTCCGCGCTGCCGACCAAGACAAGCGCAAGGCGAGCGCAGTATCGGCAAATGCGTTGGAATCAAGCAGCACTCCTTTAGAGATGCCAGTAATGTTAGATATAATCGGTAGGAGCTCAAATGATGACTTAGAACCGCGGTGCTGCCATTCTGCATCAAAGAAGTAAACTCGCGATGGGGCAAGCAACTCCTGTAGGGTCCAGGCAGAGCTCCAATACCTACAACTTCGCCAAACATCCTCATCGAATGGTGGTCCATCGGCTGGCAGATCATAGAGGTATACAAGACACACAGTTGCCCTCCTTAGCCACCGAAAGGAGGCATTGGCAGCCTCCTCGAGTGCAGTCGAGCTTGTTTCATCGACGCAAACTGGCCGTAGCCATACGTAGGTGATATCAAGGGCAATAGCTTTATCGCAGGCTTGTGAGAGAGGTTTGCTAGTGGATAGGAGCTGCTGCCGCTCGCGATCATGGCTGAAGTTTGCGTTCTTGTTAGGGTTGGAATAAGCGTATGATAAGAGTACAAAAGGGGGCAGCTCTGAATCGACAAAATATTGAAGTTCCAAGGTCTGGGCATGCAGGAGCCACATGATGATCTCTGTGTTGTAAAGTGAGAAATAGGCATGCTCACACAAGCTGTGTTGATTGAGGCCATGTCTTGAGATTGATGAAAATGGCACGTAGAAGAGCGTGAACAAAGTTATATTTATATGCGAATCCGACAGCACTGTCCGCCTATTCTCTAACCTCGAAACACTCGTAACGCACCTTGCTTGAGTTGGGCGAGGGGAGTCATTCGTGACACAAACCCCTGTCTTCCGGCCTGATCGGTAAGGTAGCAAGCGCACAGCTGTGCTGCGACTTTCAGAAAATGCACACCAGTGGCCTTCGCACCCCCACCACGCTGGCTTGCTCGGGAAAATCAGGTAAGGATCGAATGTTGGGTCGAATGTTATATATGAAGGCTTATTTAGAAGAGATTTCGGGAAGGAAATGATTGCGCACATTGAGGCAGGTCGCAGGCATACAATTGCCTATAACTATGTTGGCCTGATATGACAATAACGAGAAATTTGTTTCCGCGCTTGCAATTCCTAGGCACGCCAGTTCATACCTCACAGCCTTCCGCAACAAGTTATTTTTAATTTCCTTCAGGTCGATCTATACCTGGATACACTCTGGCTGAAATACGTTTCACCGAGACACAGCCTGAATCAACTGATCAAACGGAGCAGCCCTTATGCACCCGAGTTGCACCTAGCTTAGATCACGGGTGTGCTATGAGCTCACACTGTCGGTCAGCAGGTCAGCAAACATATTTTTATGTTATCGCGCGGCTGCATCAAAAGTGACGAGATGCGATATCTTCCCTAATCTTACTATACCCCCAAATGTCACGACTTTCTTCGCCAGTAAGATTAATCATGATTCGAGATTGTAGATTTTCACCATGACATTTGCCAAGAGACTGTTCAGACGCTTCTAAGCTTGCACTTGAGAATGTCGTCAATACTGAGACAGCGCGGTCTATATATAATCGAATAGTGTGTACTTACATAGCTCTGTCATGTAGCACTAGTATAAGAACTCCTAAACAGCGTCGTGGTGCCTATATCTTGAGGAATATGGCTCTTTTTTTTTAAAAAAAAAACAATATATATACTGAAGCATCATTCTCTATGCAGAACCAAAGCCAGTATTTGAGAACTTGCCGTTCTCCTGCACCATATCCATTAGCAGTGACTTGATATTTTGACCGACTACTCACCCATTGAGGAAATGGCTTGAATGTGTGTTGTTCTCCATTGAGTACAAGTGTTCCCTCAAATCGCATGAACTTCAACCAGCCAAGTGTGGTAGCATACCAGATTGTCTTGTACGACGTTGCCATGTGAGGGCGTCCATTAGCCGTCTGACATTTAAAAGATCGAGCTTCAGTCTTCTCAAAAGTATAAGAACTTCGAGATAGGAGATGACGAACTCTTTATCGCGGTCGTAGGTGCATTTATAACCATATTTGTCAAGTGTTGGGACGACGCCGACTTGCAGCATCTCCTGGATATATCCTGCGAATCCTATAATATCTTCCGTTATGTAGAGTCCTCCTTCAGATGTAAGGATGCTCTCAGCAACTTCATAAAAAATCTACCTTCGTACTTCAAAAGGGGGGTAGTGTCAAACGAATCCACAGTTCTAAATTATACTCGATAAAGTTTCCAGCATCATGATGAAGAATCCTTCCTCGATTTAGCTACGAAGGTGCTATAGTATATAGGTCCAGTCTAGCTAGATATGCGACCAGGTCTGTAGCTATAGTTCGTCTTGGGGAAGCTATAGATACTTGCCGTCAGGATTAGGATAATCTACGCTATGCCAGAAGTGACTGACGGAGAAGTAGTCCATACGATTGACGAACCCCCTGGTGGCGGGAAGAAGGATATAATCGTCCAGGTGCTTGCTACTCCATTTTGACATCCTCTTTTGCGATAAAAATGCTTCTCTTCGTTGAAACAACCAGAATGTGAGAGCTCCAGGTTCTTGACATCTTGACAACAGGTCGTCCAAGCTGTTGATCTTTTGCAGCCAGGCTCTCTCCAACACACGGGCATTGTCTTTGAGTGAATTCCATGCCTCGAGACTACGATCAACTAGCGAAGTCTATGCACTGTCGGGTCCAGCAGATTTGTCCTCAGACGACATCATGGCAACCGCAAATCCGTTGACAGGTATTCAACAGTCAAGCTCAAATTGAATATGACGTGATTTCGATGGTTGCGGCGGATTTTGAAGAGACAAGGCTTTGACAAGAGGACTTGTAGCCACCGGCTCATGGCAGCCAGGCAGGTACCCTCCAGACAGTCAAGCATGCTGCACGGCACGTGTCGCACTTTGGATTTCAAAATATGCAGCTAGTATTCTGCTATGCTATAGCAGCTTTCCACACAGTAATAGAGTGAAGATAACCAGTAATATTGAGTTGAGCCTGATGAAGATATCTACTGGGGGTCCATGACATGAATTTTTGCATGTTTTAATAGAGACATGATAAGCAACCTCGTTTCTTTCGCTAGGTCAGCAAGTGAAGTTATCAAGCAACTTCACCACCGTGGACTGAAATAAACATATCGAGACGTTGGAAGACACCAACAGTGATGCAGACTAGACCGATTCTGTAACATCGCGAGTTGCGCCTTTTGTCACGAGACTACACCTCGAGAGGGCGGGCTTCATATTACTAACAAAAGTGATTCTATTCGGGCCAAGATCAGAAATTACTTGATTGTGGAAATTCTAACCGAGACCAAAAACAGGGCTATGTTCCCGCTTTAGGACCCAGGGACTTATAAAATACCTTTACATAGGTTGTTATAAGGGTATAAGATCCTAAAAGTGGGCCGACCCTTACAGCTCAGCCCAACTCAGTCCGAGTCATCTGGAGCTTAGGGTTGCTCACCTAGTGCTTATGGCTAGCTCAGCTTAGAGTGGCGACAGCTCACCTCTGAAGACGGAAATGGATTTTGGTACACTTGAGTTTCGTCTTCGAGTACAGTGGTATCTAATTCGTGTACTTCATCTAAGAAAAAGTCTCACATTTCAGGATCGTCTCGTTATTGTAGCAGCTGCTTTGCCAGCCCTTCTCCCAAAGACAGCCCCAGATGTAAGACCAGATCCGCCAGGGTAATTACCATAGAATACTCCCCCAAGCATTTCTCCGGCGCAAAAGAGTCCTGGGACTTCACTCCCGCTCAGGGATATCACTGCAGCCGTCTCTGGATTAATGGCTAGTCCCCCAAAAGTGAATGTCACGCCGCAAGCTACCTTGACAGCTACAAACGGCGGCTCGTCGATGGAGAGAGCCCAATTGCTCTTTGGAAGTGCCAGGCCATGCGAGCTCGACTGGGTTGATAGACCGTCTCTGACTGCTGGATCCCACTTGACTCCTGGGTTCTCTCCGCGATGAGCTTTTACAGCGTCATTAAAGCGTGTTAGAGTTTCGACAAACTTTTGACGAGAGGTGACACCATCCTCAACCAGCTTGTCGGCAAGCTCTTCGATTGTGTCGGCAGAAATCTTGCGGACTATCTCGTCACGATACTCCTCGTCTCTCAACCACGGTGTTCCTTTGGAGTCCCATATCTGCCAGGCCACTCCATCGGGCTGTGCGAGGATGGCCTTGCCAAACTTGGCGTAGGTGTAATTGCGCAAGTCAATGCCTTCGTCGACAAACCTCTCGCCCTGGTTGTTGATCATGATGCCAAGAGGATAGCCCGACTTGGTGAACTCGTTGGAAATTTCCCTGTCCCCGCTGTTAGGCGGTGCATTCGCATCCCACGCCACGGAATGGCAGCCGGACCAGTTGCCTGCTTGTTTGGTATAGGCATCTCGCATGGCCATCTCGAGACAGTCACCCGTGTTGAAGGGTGTGCCTCGCACGAGCGCTAGATCCCACCCAGGCCCAAGATACTGCGATCGCATGCGTGGGTTCGCTTCGAATCCTCCAGCTGTGAGTATAACAGCCCCTGAGCGGATGGTGTGAACTCCGCTGAGAGACTCCACTTCGACAGCACAAACAGCACCAGTGCTCGGATCCGTGACCAGCTTCCTCGCAGCAGTAGAATACAAGACAGTGATACCCTGCTTTGCGGCTGCTTCCTGATGGTCTTCAATGAGCCCTTTGCCCCCATCCTGGGTTTTGAGAGCCATGCCGCCCCAGAACTTGAACCGGCCGTCGACCTTGTACGCCTGTCGGTTGAACGAGAGCTGGAAGCGCACCCCTTTTGCTGCGAGCCACTTGATGGCTTCGTTCGAGTCATCGACCAAGGTCCGGGCCAGGTCCGGGTCAGCCCGGCCGGCAGTGACGCGCATGAGATCACCATGGAAGTTCTCCGCGGTGTACGGATCGAGATCAATGAGCGAGGCTGTCTCGGGCTGGACGTTATTGACCAGGGGGAGAAGATCCTCCAAGCCTCCGTGGACGGTGCGGAAGGCGCCAGCTGTGAAGAAGCTATTCCCGCCGGCCCATGCCTCCGGACACTTGTCGATGAGGACGACTCTGCCAGCCCCGTGGTCGGATGCAGACAAGGCGGCGACAAATCCGGCATTCCCTCCTCCTACGACTAACACATCACACTCCTCGGGCAGATGCGACGGCGACGACATTATCCAGGCTGTTTTCGCTTCTGCCGAATTAGCTATGACAGAGCTCAGTGCTGTTTGAAGTGGAGGCGACAGCTAGTGAATGGTGGAAGCCCTGCCAGTACTGAGTATTTGAAAGAGCCGAGAATCTTGTCCAGAAATTATCAAACCCGTCTGTCTTCACATGTTATGAATAACAAGCTCAGCAAGAGCCTGCTAAGAGTTGTTCTTCGGCCCTGCAGAGGTGGTGGTCGGGATGTCTGCTTCTTCTTATAAGCGAGCTTATCACGGGAGCCGATCGGCTACCAACCTGGCCTCGGCGTCTCACTAAATATAGGTAGAACAGGACTCGAAATACTGGATTGACAGCGCTGGACTAAGGCAGGTACTGTGGCGAGCCCGCCTTGGCTCTCCGCACTCTGCCAAGCCGATCGTCGGGACAATGGAGGCTTTCCGCGGGAACTGGCCCTGGCTAACGGCACTGCGGGATTGCCGGAGTGCATTTTATTTGGCATTGGGGGTTCTAGGTCCCCCTTCCCCCGCAGCTTCTTCCGTGGCCGGGCATCTCCCCGACTGGACATTTGAGTCGGCTGCCGCGCTCTGTCCGGGAATGTTTTGATATTGCAGAGCTCCCTGCACAGCAAACCAAGTAGACCGTGTCACAAGATGAGGTGGACACATGCCCGGGGCTGGTTTGGCTGAGACGGCGAAGCTCGCCTATGCAGTACGTAAGCCATCGTCTATGCCATCGTTCACGTTCACCTCCATGCCTCGGCTGTCTACTGCAATAGATGGGCACCGGGAAGCTCTCCTCTCGCGCATTCTGTTTGAGGAGGCAGGACATGCCTTGCTGACTAGCTAAGACACTAAGATGGTCTCATGGTCGTTAAGCTTATCTCTACCTCGGCGGTGCCCAGGTGACCCGACTGTCAGGCGGCTGTCTGAGACAAGGTGCGGCGGCAGGGTGGGGGTACAGTCTCGGGGAGGGTGTTCTCGGCGGGCGTCCGGGCAGACGCCGGCGTGTGTTTCAGGATCAACAACTGCCGGCATGTACCGGGACTACTGCCGAAAAGGAGATCAAGGCGAATGGTAGTGTCTTTATCTGTACTTACATCAAGTAAAGCCTCATTGAATAGGCGCATCACGTCCCGAGACAAACAAGGAAACACATGCTACAAGAGGGTCCAACGTAGGTATGTTTCCTACTCAACTACTGCTGAGCTTATCCAATTCCTGTCTCTGTTCCAATTCTGGTGATCTAGGATCTAAACCATGTACTTTCGTCATATCTTCCTTATCTTGTCTCATGAGAATGCTGCCACACAGCTGGCCACACATCCAAGATCACACGCAAGGGAAGCCAGGGTCAAGGGATGGCGGGATATTGATCACAAGAACAGATGTAGGCATGCGTGCGTCTTCGAATCTAAGTGGCAGCGGTCTCCTCAACTCTGAGGACTCATATCAATGAGGATGAGCATACCTACCTACCCAAAGTATCTACCTGGCTTGCACGTGGAAGATTCAAACCCAAGAGGGAGCTGTGCCTTGGAAAAGCGAAGGTATTTAGATGATGGGGTACTTGGGTCGTAGGACATTCGACAGCCTGGATGCATGGATCCGATTAAAACTAGTCTACTCGTAAAGCTGAAGGTCTGTACTATGTAGGCCGGTCTGTTTGGTCTGCTTAAATCCCTGCAAACACATGCATCACAAGAAATCAGTTTTTCTATACGGTATGTTTCTTTTCTTTATCGGTTGATTGCTCATTCATAGGCCGTAACTATCATTTGACGGTACGCAGCGGTACGCTTCACCTTTGTAATCCGACCAAGCTGAGGTAATCTTCGATGTGCAGACAGAGAGACACACAGACACACAGACAGACAAGCCACTTCGTATTGAGATGACCCGGAGGAGAGTAATAAAAACAAGTCACTCACTCACTCACTCACTCACTCACTCACTCGCTCAGCTTATCTTGTTTTCCTCCACTAGCTGTGAATGGTAGGTAGATAGCTATGCCAGCTGGAGCTTAGGCCTTGCTTTAGCTCGAGATGGGAAAGGTAAGGTACTGCCCAACAGGCAAGCTAGTGGCCTGACCACTGAGCAGCCTCTAATCAAGTCGTTGCGAATCTAACACCCATGCACCCGGATTTCTCCCAAGAAACCGGGAAGGAGATTTATGCATCCAATTGCTTGACATGTCACTGCGCCTCAGAACAAGACAGACAAAGATAGGTGAATTGGAAGGAGTGGAAGATCGTAAGAAGGAGAGGTGCTGCTAGAAATGCTTCCCACTCTGCCGCCGGTAAGTTAAGGTCACTAAAGTAACAAACAGCGCACAGCAAAGGACAGAGCTGGACAGAGCTTGGACCCCCCTCTGCTGTCTGCTGTCTGCTGTCTGTCCCCTGTCCGCAGCCCCCGGGGGGTTCTGTGCCGCCCCTCCCCTCCCCTCACCCCTCATCATCCGCCGCCTTCTCTCGCTCTTTCCCAACCTTGGAATGAACAAATGAACACCTGCGGGCGGTGCACTGACTTGCCAGTCTAGACTGAGTGAGGTAATACCTACCTCACCTCCTCCCATCCATCCCATCCCATCACATCACATCACATCTCCCCAAACTGGGAACTCCTCCTCCACCGCCCTCTAACAACATCGCCTTCCTTCGCAATCTCACCATCCGCGCGGTAGCCTCGAATGCGCCTATTGCGACGTCGGCCGTCGCTTCCGTCTGCTGCACGGCTACACTCCAGGTCCAGGTCTAGGTCTAGGCATAGGAGGTTGTGGACGACAGCCGAGCGAGCCAGCCCGCACAAAGATATAATCAAGCATCGTCAGCACCATCACTAGCCACCCGCTCCGCCATTGGAAGGCGCAGGCTGGGACGGCATCTACCAGACCAGCCATTATCCTACCTCTCGTCAACCGAAACAACGACAGACAGATACTTCCTGTTTGCCGTCCTAGCCCATTCAACGAGAGAGTCTCTCGCTCCGGGCTCCGGACCCGACTACATCATGGGCAACTCCAACACCAGGGAGTCGAGGCCCGGTGAGGCCGGCCATCGTGGCCACCGCTCCTCCATCGCCCCGTCTCTCGATCCCTCCCTCACTCCAACAAACACTCACCAGTCCGATCGTCCCGCCTCAAGGGCAAGGAACAGGGCCAGCCGCGGTGATATCGGTAGCCTGTTGGGCATCGGCGGCTCCTCCGCCTCGCCAGCCTCTGCGACCGGCTCCCATCCTGATCCTCCCTACGAACGCCGCGAGACCAAACAAGAGCGAGAGGCTCGTCGTCTCGAGCGGGAACGTGTGGCTCGTATCAAGGAGCGCGAGCGAAGCATCAAGGAAGAGCATGTCGATGGAGGCTACCTCGTCACTCTCGGCACCTATACAGGCCCCGAGGACTTCAACAAACAGGTTGTACGCCAGCTACAGGTAAGTGATGCTATCACAACACTACACAGCTTAGCATAGTCTACGCCAGCGCACCATAGCATAGCACTGCGCCGCTGTGTTTTGTCTCTATCCTCGTTCTCATTCACCCGCCCCTCCCGGTCACTCCGGGCTTTCCGGCACACATCCAACTAATCCGCCCCGTCTCTCCTATAGATTGAGAGAAAGATAGCACCTTTCTGGCGTGGCATCAACGATGTCGACGAGAGCTGGGCCGAGCATCAGATCATCGCTGCTGCTCGTGGCCTGCCCATCCCCGCCGCTGACGAGGCCCCTCCCGAAGACCTCATCCCCCGTCCGCTATCATCATCTGAGTCTCCTGCAGGCTCAACACAAAACCTCAACAACCTCACCGTCCCCATGGGCGGGAGGACTCTTTCCGCCGCATCCGATAGGAGCCTGTCCAACGTCGGCTCCGCCCTCCCCTCCCCGACATCTGCCGCCCCGGCCAGAACAAGCTCTCCTTTCAAGCCCCGCGCAAAAGCATTGGCTGCCGCCTTGACCGGCTCGTCTCGTAACGCTTCCTCTACAGACATTGCTCCCCGGGAGATCAACCTACCCAACGATCCTTTCGTCAATGGCCAGCCTCTCGAAGTGTACCTCTACAAGAACGCCTCCGAATGTCCCATTTGTTTTCTCTACTACCCGCCTTACCTCAACCATACCCGCTGCTGCGATCAGCCCATTTGCAGCGAGTGCTTTGTGCAAATCAAGCGTCCAGACCCCCACTACCCCGAGGGTCACGGCGATGGAGAGAATCCCGCTGCCAATCCCGAAGAAACCGCAGGCCAGCTCATTTCAGAACCTGCCCAATGCCCGTACTGCCAGCAACCCGAATTTGGTGTCACCTATGAGCCTCCCCCCTTCCGCCGTGGCATCACCTACTCGATTTCGACCTCTGCTCTTGGCGCAATGAACACCGCCATGAGCTCAAGTAGCTCTCTGAACTCAGCGAGCCTGTCTCCCACGTCTGCCGGCGCCTCTCCCCCGGCCCTAGCCCCTATAACCGGCTCCCGAAGGAGGACACAGTCATTGTCGGCCAATGCCCCTAATGTCATCACGACGGACCGCGTACGGCCAGACTGGGCGACGAAGTTGGCCTCTCAGCGGGCGCACCAGGCACGCCGCGCCGCAGCGGCCACTGCCTTGCATACGGCCGCCTTTCTCATGGGGAGCTCAGAATCCCGTAGTTTCAGAGTCAGTCGCTTTAGTCGCAGGAACACGGGCAATGCTTCTAGTGCAAACAACAACGCCGAGAGCCCGACAGGCAATGCCAATGATAGCGGCAGTGCTACGCCCTCTGGCCCCGAACCTGGTCCTCGCGGTAGTTCGGGCCGACTCTTGGTTGGTCCAGGAGGCGAAAGACGCCGGAGTCATATGGAAGACCTGGAAAACATGATGTTCATGGAGGCTATTAGACTGTCTCTGGCAGCCGAGGAGGAACGTAAGCGCAAGGCTGAGAAGGAGGAGCGAAAAGAGGCAAAGAAGAGGGAGAAGGAAGAGCGCAAAGCCGCCAAAGCAGCCGCGAAGCATGCTGCAGCCTCTGGAGGTCCTTACAATCCTTCAGGAGGCAGCGGGCATAGCTCCGCGAGTGGAAGCAGCCTGAGTTTGCCCGGTTTAGGTGCGATTGGCAGGCGGCGAGGCAATAGTGCCGCCTCCAACCTGAGAATGGAAGCCAGTGTTGCAAACGCCATGGCCTCGACAGGAGCTAGCGGCTCGTCCAGTCCTGGCGGCGGTGCTTCGAGTCCGGCTGACAAGGGAAAAGGGGTAGACAGAGGCCCAACGCAAACCGCGCCTGAGACCGAGGTGGGAGCGGTCAATGTAGATTCTCTGCATCCAGCGACAGTCTCCACTACGTCTCCCACGCCTGCAACGACGGCATCCCCGCGTCCGATTCCCTCACCTCACCAGCCCGCCGGGCCGTCCCATCTACGACAAATGAGCAGTGCCTCGTCCATCTCATCCTCGCTACCCGACTCGCAGCCTGGGAGCTACCAGAATCCATCGCATCTCCAAGACCCCAGGGCCAGCGGCCTCTCCTTTGGCAGTCAGGCCAGTGAGGATGGAGAGCAGGCTCGGCATCAGGAGCACGATAGAGATCCCAGTGCCAGCACGGAGCCCATGTTCAACTTTCGCAGCCTAGCCGAGATGGTCGGGGTAGAGATCGAAGGCGAGAACGCTGGACGGCGACTTAGCCAAATTGGCAACATGAGTGGCAGCCCACCAAAGGGAGATGACGCGAGCAATTCGCCCAGCGATACCGTGGACAAGTCAGATGAGGCTAGCGCAGCCGCTCACGAGCACGTGGAACATGTCGAGGATGATATGGACAAGAGCTTCTCCACACTGACACCCGCGACAGCGAACGGACAAGTTGGTCATTCTGCGACGAGTGGTGAGAATACAGAGGGTGAGGCGTCACAGGAGAAGCATTCAAATACTCTCAGCCTAGCGCCACCAACAGTCATGGTCACTCCGGAAACTCCAGCCCCCGAGGAGAGTGGCGCAGAGTCGAAACAGCTAGGATATGAAGGCACAGAGACACGAGAGATTCCAAGCCACGTCACGCAATAAAGCTTTGATTTCGCTCTGTGCAAGTGCCTAACACAACATCCATCCTTTCACCGGATGCGTTGTCAGGAGATAAAGTTGGCGGATACATTAAATGAGGGCAATGATCAACATAACGGCTGATAAACAAGAGAGAAAAGCGAAAAACGAGCAGGGGATGGAAGCCAACGAAGCATTCATCCATGTTCTTGTATACAGCAAGCATTTCCCACATAACATGACTGTGAGGGGGGGAGACATTTGGCATTTGGGGAGCATCATGGCAAGGATATACCGCTAGGGAGGCTCAATTGTACTGGTCTGTAGTTTCACATGGAGTCTGGTGTCCAGCGTCGCATAGAGGCAAGATCGGGTAGAATGCTATGAACACAGCCATTTGGTGTAAATAAACCCCGAGTATCTAAAAATGCAAGCCAGCGCCATTGAGCATGACAAACGCTATCTAATGCATATGTGTGTCTGTATAAACGAGATGAAAATGTCTATCGGTCCAAGATGATCAGAATCTTTCATGCGGTGGTTACTTCGACCGCTTTTACTATGACATCCAGCTTCTTCGCCACGATTGGGGTCTCTTGGGCTGTCTTCTCAAAAGCCTCGACAAGACCATCATCTGGGGTTGTTCCCAAGTCCTCGGGGCGCCGAGTGTTGACAAAATCAGGCCCACCGGATGCCCAGCTGTGCTTCCGCCACGAACCGAGGACAGGCCACAGGGTATTATGGACGAGGTCCTGGACGTTTTCGTACCGCTTGACGGCTGCGTCGCACCGCTCTTGATCGGCCTCGTCGACCAGCTCCCCGCTCGGGCGCAGGCTGTCCAGCACGCTCTGCCAGACGGCCCACGTCTCCTCCAGCTCGGCCAGGCTCGACACGCCCATGACGCTTGCGCCGAGCGGGCGACCGCCCTCTAGTTCTCGTGCGCCGACGCCGACGCCGACGCCGACGCCCAGCCCGGCCGCCGCGCCGGCGCGGCTCCACGTGTCCAGCGCGTAGCGGATGGCGACGCGCTCGAGCCTCTCGCCGGCGGCGGTGGTGGCTGCCGCGACGGCGGCGCAGGCCTGGCGCAGGGCCGTGGGCGAGGGGTGCCAGGCGGCCTGGGGCCCGTTGTCGACGCCGCGGGTGGTCAGCAGGCCCATGCCGAGCATGCTGGCGTTGAGGACGACGTTGACGCCGGCGGCGCGGAAGCGGTCGAGGGGATGGGCGGTGCTATCCTGCGCTGGCGCTGGGGCCGGGGCCGGGGCCGGGGCCGCGGTTGAGGTCGCAGTGTATCCGGCGGCGAGGGTGTCGTTCTGCAGGGAGCAGTGGCAGTAGCTCATGACGGCGTCGAGCGGCTCGCCGGTCTCGCGGCGGATCATCTCGGCGAGCCCGCACAGCACGGGCACGGGGTAGCTGATGCCGACGTAGCGGATGAGGCCCTCGTCGCGCAGGCGGCGCAGCTCGCGCACGGCGGCCAGCACCTCGGCGGGGCTGACGAACTCGACGTCGTGCGTGTAGACGAGGTCCAGGTAGGGCGTGTGCAGGCGCTTCAGGCTGCGCAGGACGCTGTAGCGGATCCAGGCGGGGCTGTAGTCGAACTCGTCGCCGGCGATGCGGCCGGCCTTTGTGATGAGGAAGTAGTCATCGCGCTTGTGTCGTGGTGATGGCGGCTGGACATGGACAGCATCGGCGTCTGGGGAGGTGGACGAGGGCGGAGGTGTTATGAGCGAGTGCAGGGCCTGGCCGAGGAGGATCTCGGAAGGCCCGTAGTAGGGCGAGGTGTCGAAGGCAGGGACGCCGAGATCGAGGGCGCGGCTGACGATGTCGGTGTAGTGCATGCGCGTGGGATCGGCGACATACTGCGTGTTGAAGGTGGCGGTGCCGAGGATAAGGGGCGGCAGCACGGCGGACAGGGGCGGCCGGGCATCGATATCGCCTGCCGACGAGGGCGGTGAGGGGGACGGATCCAGCATGGGCATGGCCGTATATGATGCTCGTATATTAGTTGCAGTGTAAATGTTGTACTCTGAGGCCTTATAGTAACTGAAGCTCTCGTGATCCGTTCGTATAGTCAAATCTGTGAATATCTTTGCTATGGCTATCGATGTGTAGATGCTCTCATTGGCCGATGGTGGGGCGGCGGTAGTTCAGACAAGATGCGCTGAGGGACTTTCCAGATGATAAGAAATCAGCAGTGAAGCAGATGTTCTTGGTATTTAGATGTGAGTGAAAAACTCGCCCTTAGGACGAGAAGGGGGATGATGCCATCTTCGTTGCCGGAACCGGGAGTCAAGCTGAATCGATTTGATTGATTGATTTGACTAATTGATATTGATGGATGGAGGGGTTTTCTCTCTCCCGTTTCCCGTTGACTTGGCGGGGTTGCTGTTGTCGAACCTTGGGAGTCGCGCTCAGTGGCTGGCACCAACGAACATATAAATGTTCAAGATAAAAAGTCGCGACGGACAAAGTGTGTATGAGAGTAAGGGAGATAAATTCCTTGTTGTCGACTTGTAAGATAGTCCGTCGTCCGTCGTCCGTCGTCAGTCAGTCAGTCGCCTGAATCATTTGAGACGACGGAAGACCGGGACGAAGAAGACGGAGGGGGAGAACCTTAGCTGTCTCTCCCATATACCTCGCCTTTCATGTGCATTGGATGGAGATCTCTACAGTACAGTACATGTGCATGTAGCTGTAGATAAGATAGATGGATGGAGGGATTCGATCGGTCTAGCCTCTCACTAGTCAAGGGTCAAGGTACCGAGCTGCGAGCCCGATCATCGAAAAACAATCGCTGCTCTCACTACATTGGGCATAGCATAGCATAGCATAGCATAGCATAGCATGCCTAGATACCTACATGTAGGTATCATTGCATTGCATGCATTGCCTCGAGATTCGCCGCCAATATCCAACAATCTTCCTACACAGACTTCATGTGGAAAAAAGAATTGACTGATTGGAACGTGTACCAAGGTACCTGCCAGCCCAGATCATATCCGACCGGACGGCACGGGAATTCAAAGCAGACTTACCGAGGAGAAAAGTCCATGACGCCTACAACAGAGACGAAGCTAGAAGCTGACTTATCGCCGAGACGAGACTAGAGTAATTACGAGTAAGGCGACGCAGGACCCTTCCTTTCGTTTATTACGGTACCATCTCATTCATCACGTACGTTCCCATCCACCCGATCTCATCCGATCCGACGGGTTTATTCATGCACCAACCTTCCTAACCACATACAGACACAATCTGGTAACGTTGGGCAGGCTTGTGATTCTACACATCTGATGTTCTGGAGTAGGTTGAGGCTTGGAGATGGTCATCCTCCTGGCCCCTATTAGAGACGGCACACGACACAGTTCGATTATTAGTAAAAACGGCATCACTTGTACCCGTCCATTTTACACCTATTTTGGGGATGGTAGAACCACATTATGTAGCATAAATATTCAAGGTTCGCTCGAGACAGCAGGTTTCTTACGCTATAACAATCTCATCCAGACTTTCTTCGTCAACGTTTTCCCAGAACTCTCCTTTCATCACACCATCAACCTCGGCAAACCCCACTAGTTGATATGTACACCCTTGTTGACGAAGCACAAGAGGCAAAGAAACACCAGACACCAGCGCAATGACATCCCCAACCTTGGCCTGTGTTGGGCAATTGCCAACAGTTTCTCTGCCTGGGATTCGGGTCTGGAACAAGACTCTCTCACACTTAGCCAAGGCATTTATGATCTCTGCCCAATATCCCACGTTCAAGGCAGTCAGGTCTGTCGTCAGAGAGTTACTTGGTGATTGCGGAGACCCAAGATTTATGTAACCAAAGCGCGTGAGAGTCGGTTGTCCCATGTGGGAGTAGTCTCTGATCACCAGCAGCTGGTCCATGATGAACGGATTTTCATATCTCAAACGGATGGCCTCATCATCGATCTCGTTGAAGGGGTCGCTACGCCGCAAAACGCTTGAGACGATTGAGCCACGCACAACCAATTGCCTGTCTTCGTCACGGAAAGACCATTTCGGAACTGATCCAGGTGTTGCGTTATGCTGACTCTTTTGAAACAGATGGCTGGACTCAAACCATCCGTCGCCTAGATCCCCATCCCAATTTGGCACCCAAGATGACTTGTAATTAGAACCTGAACTGCACGCACAGAGCAGCAAGCCCAGCGATTTTGTCCAAGCCAACAAGGCCATGAACGCTTCCCGATGAACATCTTCTGGGGACTTGGTGTAGTCGGCAGGAGGCACTCGAAACCCCACCCGAGAGAAGATTGCATGCATCCCAAAAGACCTGTCTCTCGGGTCTGTAGACTTTCTGGCACAAAGTTCATGTACGAGTGCGCCAGGGATCCCGAAGGTCTCTGCTCGTGGGTAGCCCATTACTTTCACAGGCCACCGGAATACAGGATCCGCAACAGTGATGCCTATGAAGATAAAAGCTACCACTACCACAATTATACTTACTATGTTATAGACTAGTGGTCTGAAAAGAAGAAAAAGTAGACAAAGAACAGAATACCAGGCACTGACGTGTAATATAAGGACGGCCCAGGCTAGAATTCGATATCTTCTAGTCGACGTATCGAGGAAGCTCCAGTATTCTGGCATAAGCATTCGTGGAGAGATGTTGCTTATATCTGAAGAGCTATGGGGGTTGTGGCTTTGGTTTCCCGCCGAGAAGAAGAGCCATAGCAGCTTTATGGTTCTCCACCTATTGAAGCCCGTTTCCGAAAGGGCCACACCGTAGTGCTGGATTGCGTGTTCTAGATATGTCATGCCGTAAAGAAAGCACTTCCACTCGAGTGTTTGGTTTCCACAGCAGATTATCGGCCGCTTTGCGAGCACGACCTCTTGCAGCGTCCAGATTCGGCCAACCCACTGCCGTGAGAAGAAGTCGTCGAGACTCTCATAGTCTATGAGCCGGTCTGGAGGCGCTCTGAAATTTACCCACAGCGTTTCAATCCCTATCATAAAACCTAATGGCAGTGACATTAGAATCGGCCCATAGAAGCTCGCATAGTGACCAGCGGCCCTCTATTCGCGGAGATTTTGGTACTAAACATCGAGATTGTCCATGGTAACCGGATCATGGGTTATTACATCACTTACCATAGTTCCATGCCATCGACACAAAGTTATTTAGCCTCTTGGTCAGCAAAGACCACGCAATCTTCCAGGGACTCCATGCGTCTCGTGGTACGTAGTAGTCCAGCTCGCCCCTCGAAATGAGCTGATTTTGAAAGCCTGACGCTTTTAGGTACGAAATGGCCCTTTCTGATTCTGGGGTTCCTTCTCCGAGCCAAATGTAGACGGATACTGCTGAAGAGTATATATCAATCATCAGAGGTATCTGGGTCTCCTTCTCTCTGTCGTCATGTTGATTGATGCTGATAGAGTCCACCCATAGAGCAAGGCGTCCGAACTTCTTGTGCAATTCGCACAGAGCTGACCAGCAATTTGAGGTGATGTTGATAGAGGAGCCTCTGCAACAGACTTTATGAGGAGGGGACCGGTATTCTCCCCAGACATACGACAGGGCCGCAAATACCGGCCGGTCCACAAGGTCGACCACATACATGTCGATCTGCAACTCGGTGCGGTCCATTGTGAGTCCATCATCGCTGCCATCGGGCCTGTCTTGAATCTCGATGACACGAATTGATTTTCGTTCAATGGAGAGCGGAAGCGATTTATAGAGCGAGGTTATGGGATCAGCCATTTGCACGCTGGAAAGAAAGTAGTAAGCCTCATGAGTTCTCCTGTCCAGTATGTAGACGAAATGGCTGAATTTATGTCAGAGCTGCGATAGGCGCGCCAATGGGAGGACGCAATTCTGATTTACTATACACATCAAAGGCAACAGAAGCAAGAAAAACACCGAGTTCAAAGTAGCGGTTGTCTTTCTATTCTCTGAGAGATGTAGAAGTCAAGGAGGAAGGATATGTGGGGTTGGCTTGCAAGGTGAAGAACCCACAGCCTTGCGTTCTGGCGCATATTTGAAGCCAGGTCTTGAGGCTGCTTGGCTTATGCGCGGCGGCATATCACTGGCTGATAACTGCAGGCAGCAAAAGACAATCAGTGAATCCCAGCATCATTACTGGGTGAGTTGCCGGCCTGGACCCTGCTATGTACGGGATTATCTTGAGTTAGAAATGGATCTGCAGCGTCGAGTAGAGGCTTACTGAAAAGACAACCTGTTCAGTCTTACTCATCGGCTTCCTCTATTTATCACCATTGGCCGACGGAGGATAAGGGAATGATCTGGGGTAAGCATCGTGGATTGACTTTCCGGCCCCAATCGGCTCCAATGTCCCGGGTCCCACACCATGACCACCGTCCCCGAATCGACTCAGGCCGACCCAGCCGGACCAGATCATCGGAGACTTGGACCACAGGAAAGGGTGACTCTTTGGTAGCACTGACTATCCTGTCGCCCTGAGGTGGACTTCATATCTACACCTCCGCCAGGGTAATAAACGTTATTTTAGCGAGTTGAAAATACCAGAAAACCAGGGTTAAGAATACCTGATTGAGGCTTCGAA